TCCTTTGTTGCCAGCCTGGCTCATCATGTCCCAAGGAGACTGTCAAGTTGTCTCTGACAAAAGAGAATGCTCTGACTGAAAATACATGCCTGGAAATATTCCTTATACAACTTCAATTTTTTTTTCAATAAAGTTTGTCAAGGTTAATAAGGTAGCCACAAAGTGTACCAATCAACTAAGTCGATCTTCAGATGAGTGGTACTGTGTCACCTGCCATGTGCACAGGGCAGTAAAATGTCATTCTATAGCACAAGAGTTGAGAAAAGGCAAAGGCACCTACAGGCACCAGATTCTGAAGGAAAAGTGCTCTCCCATTTTGATTTCATTCTACTCTTCATATACAGAGAAATGGGGAACTAGTATCCCACAGTGGGAGGCGTTATTATCAACAGATACTAGCGAAGTCAAAAAGGGTTGAGGAAATGAAAGAAGGTGATCACAGGAATAGGACCCATAATTAAAGTTACTATCACTACCAGGGAAATAATGACAGTTGGGAATATGATGTGTGAAATATAGAAGGAAGACTGTAAGAGTAATGAGAAAGCAAACAGATAAAATGTGCAAAACAGAAATCATAAATGTGTATGTGTGAGAGAGAAATTCAGAAACAGAAACGCAGAGATGGAGACATCATAAGAGAGTGAGGCTAACTTGCAGATGCAACTCTCTTCCTCCAGGTACAACTATCTTCCTCCAGATACACCTGATTATAGCAACGAGCCACTGTCCAGTACTACTCCTTAAGACTAGGAACTAGAAATGAGAACAGAGCTGGAAACAAAGAGCAGAGACTGGACCACTGCACTAAGATTGGCTGTAGCTGCTGAACTAGTGCATTAGAGATTAGTAGGAGAGGTCTTAAAGGACTTTGGACACACATAGAGCAGAGGAAATGACCTCAGGTCAAGACATAGTGGACATTCTGGTGATTGACATAAGCTCTGAAGAACTCAGACACTCTGGGCATCAATTAGGCCATTTCCTTCTCAGTTGACTATAGACCAACATGGCCTGAGTGCAGGTTCAGCACAGGTGTTTTTCTGCTCATTTAAAAATCCCATCACAGTCTTAACTCCTGACTGTGCACAAGGAAGTGATTGAGGGATACTTCTGCAGTTGTCCTGCAATGACCCACCAGCTCATGTGCCCAAGCCACCCAGACACGTCCTTGCCACTCTCCTGGTATTTCTTCCCTACCCAATTACACTGCTGAGTTGTCCCAGGAATGGAACAGGGCCCTAACAGTGTGTGGAGACCACACACAGCCTCAGGGTGCCAGAGTATGATTTGGGGAATGAGCAGTGATATCTAGCCAAGATCATAAAGCCAAGAGCAAAAGTTGACAAGGAGGCTGAGGGTAACATGAAGACAATGAATTATCCAAGAGAAGATGAAAGAGAAAAAAAGAAACTTAACCTTTTCTAAGCAGATTCTTTTCTGTTTCCAATGCACTACATTTTATTTTTCCTCACAAGTGACCACAAACTTTTAATTCAACCTCACAGTTGTGTTTTCTTAAAATATTTCTTCCGGGACTTGTGAATTTGCTTTGAAACTGAATTTTGTGTTATTCCTCCTAGTTAGCTTATGTTCTCGAGTTTCGCTGTCCTTTGCTGCACGTCTTTCTTTCTTGAGTAGTTTCCTGAGTCACCAGTGGACTTTGCCACTCATCCCCTTCATTGGCAACTCACTAAAACATTTAGCAGCCAGTACTAATCCTAAGGATCAACTCGAAATTATTGCATTATTAATACTTTGCTGCATAATTAATACTTTGTTGTTTTTCATTTGGCCTGGCTCCTGTTCTTGAGTTGAACTGTATGATTTCAAATCCATAATTCATCACTACCATGGTTGAAAATATATGTACTTATTCCATGTATGTATATGTATGTGTGTAAAATTATTCTAAACAATGATGTGTTATATATGCCAGTTCTCTTATTTTAAATTTTTTTAAAATAGATCTAATATATCTGAAAAGTACAGTCCACCCTTCTAAAGATGTGTTCTCAAATATATCTTACATATTTTGTAAGACTATCTCAGTTACTTTGCAAGCCCTTGCAGAAGGATACTCTCAAATGAATTTTTTCAGTTTTTCATGAAGATATGCAACTACTCCAACATTAGGCAACATCCTCTAGAATTCTAACTTCTGCAACAATAATGTCATGCCTCCCCAGACAGGATTTCTACTGAGTGTGTGTTTCATTTCCTGAAAAAGGCCCTTTAAGCCAAAGCAATGTAAGTATAATCTAATCCAATTTTTTCAAACAACATAATATAGACAGTGAAATTCCTGATCAATTAAATACAGAATTTATCATAATGTCACAGATAATAATCTCTGAACTATTTTTCAGTAAATCATACAGTAAGAGACTCCTTTTTGAAAAAAATAAAGGTTTTTTTTAAGTTACACATGCTTATGTAGAAAAATTAGGAACTAACAGGAAAGAAGAAAATGAAATTGCCCATCATCGATAACATGACTGCTTTGTTCATTAGTCTTCACAGTGTAGGACAGATACTGACAGATACTGCAGGTGAACCAGGCTCTCAAAAGCAGCTGAAGTAAATGCTCTATTGACTCAATAATCCATTAATTTCGCACAGAAAGTCAAAGCCTTCAATTTGCTCCAATCTCCCTAATCATAGTGCTGATAGTAATAAACCTCATAATAATTATTATCAGTTCAGAGTATTTACCACATTAAGCCCTTAGTTAAATGCTGTCCAGACAATATCTTCTTTAATGTTCACGAATGTTTTATGAGGGAGGCACAATTATTCACCCCACTTGGCAGGTGTGGAAACTGAAGAAACAGCCCCAGGTTCGGGTAGCTATAAGTGGTGGGTCCCAGCGCGGTGATCTGATTCCAAAGGCAGGTTTTACAACCACACCAGTGGATTGTCAAACTTGAGTAGCCGTAAAAATCACCTGGAGAAGTTGTTCAAATGCCAGGTTTTCCGGCTTCAGTTCTTGACACTCTGATTCTGTAGGTTTGAGCTGGAGCTTAAGGATCTATATTTTCAAAGCAGCTCTGGGGATTGTGATGGAAGAGGTACACTAGCCAAGCGCGCTGCTATTCTGCCTACATGGACGCAAAAACCATGAACTGCCTCTGAATAGTTCTCCCATCTAGGAGGTCTTTACCCACAATGCTTCTTAACCTTTTTGAGGGGATCTCAGACCCCTCTGAGAATCTGAGGAAAGCTATAGATTTCTTGCAATCGAAATGCAACACAAATTTTTTTGTATTAATTTTCAGGGATTTAAAGCCCATAAACCCCAGTTTAGGACTCCTAGTCTTTCTCTACTTCTTTTTTTCTTTTAATCTCATTATTCCCTCTTTTGAAATAAGGACACTAGCCCTACTGGCTGCCTGCTTTACAAGACTATTATAAGGATAACTTTTTTAAAACCACAGAAGTTTTGAGGTACAGAAACAGAAACACTGCATATAAACCTCGTGTTCATAACAGAAATAGAGAACTAGGTAAGAACAGAATAGAGTAGAAGGGGCTCCTGGGAAAGAAACTTAGCACTGATTAAGAAAATAACCAGCAAATAACCATGAGCATAATCAGAATGGTCATTTGCCATTTGTTGAGTACCAACCATGCACCACACACTGTGGTTTGTGCCTTAAAACCATTTATTTTTAGCGTCCATAACAGATCTTTAAGGGTATCATCTTTATATTACAAATGAGAAAACCCAGGCTAAGATAAAGAGTAAATAATTCACCCAATATCAAACAGCTAGTAAAGTGACTCAAGCCCAGGTCTGTCTGCGTGCAAACCCCACCTAATTTTCACGATGTGAGGATATGGCCATGGCTCTTTTCCAGACCTGATTCCATACGTGGACCAGGCATGGTTTCCGAGGCCAATTCCTGGAACAGGGAGCCTTAACCTCCTCTTCACCCTGCTAGCCATCAATTTCCCTCCTATAATGATAGTTTGCAACACTCCAAAGGCTCTAGTTACCACTATCAATCAGTTGCTCTGTCCTCCCAATGGAAGCAAAACAACAGAAGGCACTGGAAATATTCAGGTTCCTAGTGGCAGGGCTGCCAAAGACCAACTGTGGCATTATAAAAGGTTAATGTCTTTAGGCTCACTCTGTGGCAAGTTCTGCTATCAAGACTCTTGGGACCAGCGGTATGAATCACACTTCTAGATGTTGCTCCAACTAGTAGGAAACAGCTTTTCCTTTAAATAAATTTCACTTTCAGAAAAGGCTTTAAAGCGCATTACAGATAGGGCTGTGAAACATTTGGCTACATGTAAATCCTTCCACAGCAAAGGGGAAACCTCCTCATGTAGCAGAAAAGCTAAAACTGAGTCCAGGAAAGTCTTAGCCAAAATGGCCAAAAGAGATATCTGGTGGAAAAGAATGCTTCATTCTCATTCTGTTTCAGGCCCATAACCATTCTGTTGAAGGAATATTTAATAGTAGGAATGAATAGCAAGAAGTATAATAATAATAAATAAAAAAGTGTTAACTGAGGTACTCAGCTCAGCAGGTCACCTGCTCTGCCTCCCCACAAGCAAGGCTGCACCGCCCTCCTCCACAGCCTCCACCCACCCTTAATGTCTTTTCCTACGGCTGCTTTCCACAACCTCGTTTTATGGAAGAAAGCGGTAACCCAAGCTTGCTCAGCACTAACAGATGTTGCAAGGAATCACTTTAGTTTGAATCCTCTCTCCCTCCTTCACACTGCAACTCCGACCCTGTCAACACCACCAGCCTGTGCAAGAAATTCCTAACTCCAGGCACTGGCCACTTTTTTGCACCATCCGATGGACCTTTTTCAGTTGAATTTTTAAAAAGGGGTTGCTAGCTCCATTAGATGTCGCAGCCTAGTCTCGGCGGGTTAGTGGAGGAAACATCAGGCAGTTGCTTTTCTCCTTGTCAAAGATAAGCTTCTCTGACGTGGGTCTGCCATTTATTAACTAACCTCATGACTTTCAACAAATTATCATACCTCTCTGAGTTTCAGTCTTCTTCTTTGTGGTAACACCTTCCCTTCCCTCCAATGTAAGAGATCATGTTTTCAAAAGCTGTAAAAGAGGACACAAATATAATGCTTTTAGAATGGTCATTGCTATCTATTTTATATTATATATCATCTGGAGTTTTCTGAGACACCCAGGAGCAAAGGGTCATTAACAACAGACAAGGCAATCTCAAGCCCAAGCCCTAGATGAATAAATTAGTAGGCTCAACACTTTTCTGAACATAGAATTTAATGTGTAACAGATTCAACATTTTACTAAACATAATCAAACCCATAACCCTGGGTTTCTAATTGCTTACCACGTACTAGAATACAGTGGACAAATACACAATAGCTTGGAATTCAGGAATCAAAAGTAACACATCAGCAGTTTTGCAAATAATTGTCTAAAACCAAGGCAATAGTAACTGGGGAAGGCAACCTTTGCTAATATCTAACTCAAAAAGTTTGATTCAGCCCCTCATGGTGGTGAGCTGTAGTGGGCAGGATTCCACTGCAAAGAAAAGAATTCAGTCTGGCTAATTTAAGCAGAAAAGGATTTATTACAGTGTACTAAATGGCATACAGAATGTTGGGAGGGCTAAAGAAACAAACTCTAGGTTCTTCTAGAAACAACTCCTAAGCCACACAGCAGAACCAGGCTGCCAAGATTGCTGTCTGCTGATCCAGGGTCTCAGCTACAAACACACTGCACTGCCACTATTGTGACAGACTTGGGCAAGCCCCCTCCGTTGCTGCCCCGCCAGGCCTGAGATGATCGCTGCCAGTAGTATGGGTGCCCTGAGCCTTGCCTGTCCACACCCAAGACTAGTCCACACCCATGGCTAGTGCCCAGGGAAACCACATGCCTCTCTGACCTGGCCAGAGAAGCAATGCCTCTGCCTCCCTTTGCCTTCCAAATAAAAGTACATCTAAATCAGGTCCAGAACTCTGACTGCAGGGCATCTGGAAAATGTAGTTTTTAGCCTTTCAGCCCCTGCACTATAGAAAGGCACAGTAGAAGGGGCTTGAAATAGATGTCCAGTGACAAGCCCTCATGCCCATCACATAAGTCAATGCCAAAAGACTCATCTTCATAATCCCTTCTCCTCCCTGCCAAGACAGGTGGTGGGGGGGGGTGGTGGGGGGGGTAATGGGAAAACCTGGGGATACATGTAGCAAGAGTTTGGTTGTGCACATAAATGACACAGAGTTGGCAGAGCTGTTCACATTAGGCTGCTTAGGAGAAGATGTCATTACCAAGTCTAGGAAACTTTCCCTATATAGTAATCAGGCAGCAAAAATCAAGAAAAAGCATTGTTGTTCTCCTTAGTACCCTCAGGGGACTGTTTTCCTCCCACAGGGTCTGAGCTCATTATGCCACCTCTATTACATGCCCTACACACAAGCCAATATAGGGTAACTTCCCTTCCTGAATGTGGCAATCAGATTACTTATCTTGGATTCACGTCACCCTTTTAGGCAGAACTTCCTGGCTCACCAAGGGTTCTCCTAAGAGAGGGAGTTCTACCTCTCTTAGGTGTGTCTATTTTTTTTAAATTAATACCTAATCAAAATAGCCCTCATCCTGCAAGGAGAGTTACTGTAGTGTTGATGCTTGTATGTAATTCACAGTAGCTGTCAGTCTCGCCATGCTAAGGCTGTGTCTGCTGTATTTTAGCACCTTTTGTCAAGTGACTCTGAATTCCAAGTTCCCTTCACTCATTGAACAAAATTCTATTAAGTGCTGTTCTATGCCAGGTACAGAAAGACACAGAAATAAATAAGAAAGACACGGTCCCTGCCCCTATGGAGCTTACAGTCAAGTGACAGGTTCTAAAAAGACGTTTAGCGCATAAGCAGTATCATGACAGCCCCGAGATCTGCGTAGGACATCGGAGAATGAATTCCTCCAGAGTGACTCACATTTGGACTTGGCTCCCACGAATTAAGCTACAAAATAAAATTGTTTCAGTGTTTGAATTTGGAGAGTTCTCTGAAAAAACACACCAGGTTAGGGCAATATATAGACCAGGCATAGTATGCCAGGCCCTGAGACTAATGCTAAGCAGATGTTTCTGTTCTGAAGGAGGGACCTGGAACCGATCCGGCCCAAGATTGAGGTGTGGGGCTTCTGGTGAAGGCTCTGGTGTGGCCGTATCAGTGCAGAAGCCTCACAGAAACTCCGTCTCAATGACAAGTAACTGGCCACATGTCATTTCTCTTATCTTCCTGAGAAACAGGCGTAACTTAGCACAACTAACCTCGCCATGATTTTCTTTACTGTCTAAATAGTACCTGCTTCCATTTAGCAAGGGGAAAAGTTACTGTTAATTAAATTTCCCTCAAAATTCACATGGGTTTACATTAGGGGGAGGTGTTACACAAAAAAAGAGAAAAGTTTTGCCAAAAAGATTTAAAACTGGTTCTCTAGAGCTGTTGTGAAATCTATCAGACTGCTATGCCCGCTCCACCCCCAGGTCAATTCCAGTTTGGTTTACATTTCAGTTGGAATTTGGGGTGACATTTCATTTTATCAAAACAAGACAGACTAATCATGGTGGGCTTTCGTGTTCCCATATTAGAAAAGAAAGGGCCTAACCCTTGTGAGTGAGACCTCTTTCCCTGTCTTTTCCACAATTTTTATTGTGAGCAAGGCCAGAGCTGGGCACTGAGAATACTGAGATGAGTACGTTATGATTCTAGCCTTCCAGAAAAATAGCCTGCGCCTCATAAGAAGAAACCAAGTGAAGTCCCATGAAAGACAAAGGACCCTATCTGAAAGTGGTTGCCACACACAAGCAGCTCGACCTGGACTTCGAGCACATGTGAGAATAAATGAAGACCAAGCAGATGAGAAAAGTAAAGTCTGTTTATTTCCTTTTCAGAGCTTACTATAGCAAGGGAGTCAGCCACCATCATTTGCATTATGGCAGAGACTCAAAGGCAGGCAGAGGAGTGGGACAGCTTTAGAGTGGAAAGAAGGGACGGGTCAGGTGTGCCCTGGTTGGAGGCTGCTGCCATAGGGAAGCTGGAGGTGGCCTAGCTAGAAGCCAGGCATCCTGTGGGGTTGGTTAGGAGGCATATTTGGCTTTCTGTGGTTGGTCCTAAGTTGGAAGTGGGGGCAAAAATTAAGGAAGCTGTCAGTTATTAATCAAGTCCTGGCCATTTGGGGCTGATTGTTGTAGAAGTTATCATTTAGCTTCTTGGATTATTACTAACAATAACAATCTAGCTTCCTGCAAGTCTGGCTGGCCACCCAGGTTATTTATTATAGATAAGAGGATTAGTTTCCTAGGCAGGTTGCTGCAGGTTGTGGGTCAGAGTTCTGTTTTTAGATGTGGTCCAACCATCTTCCATTTGCATATTCAGTCTCTTGCAAGTCTAGGGTTCAATTCTGTCCTGGCCCTAGGACTCCACCTGACATGAGCTCCCCCTTGCAATGCAAGGGTCCCCAGAGCTTCCCACCTGAATCCACTGGTGTCTCCTGAGATGCTCAACTGCTGAGTTTCATGAACATTCCCAGAAAGTGTGTCTGACTGCCTCCCTCTAGGCATGGCTCTTCTTGCCTCATTGCCCTAATTCCACTCTGTGTAAGGTCAGGAGAATAAGCCTTGCCCACACACACACACAAAAAAAAAACCCAAGCAAATTATCTTATCTAAAACAGCAAGTTCTTGAATCATAGACAAACCTGTGGCAAGGGACTGGTTTATCCTTAATAGTATTTAATGTCTATGGGCATAAGCATCAATTTGTAAACATAATGGCAACACTATAGCAAAATTGAAAATATAAACCTTATGGAATGAAAAGGCATTTAAAGAACAACAATGTACAGCATCCCATTTTAAATAAAATGTGTGTATACATGGAAAAAAAACAAAGAGAGGATAGATAAAATTTCAGTAAGTTTTCCCTCAGTTGTAGGATTAAAAGTGGTTTTACTGTTTGAGTTCCTAAAGTCTTTACTCTCATGAAATAATTAGCAATAAAAGTTTTACTTTATGGAAAGCCTATTAAAAAAAACGGGACCCTCTCATAGCAACATAACTGACTCATTAATTCATTAATAGCTGCCACCTACCACTCTCCACTTCTATAGTTATTATCATCATCATAACCACAGCAAGCCTATGAGGTGGGTGTTTCTATCCACTTCACAAATAAGGAAAGCAAAGTGTAGAAAGGTTGACAAATTGCTGGATATGTCTGATCCCAATATTGGAGGTCTCAGTCACCATTCCGTTGTTTCCTTTCTAGGGCTGTGCCTTGTAGCGGGTGTATGACCAAGAAAAGTCATTTTCTGTTCATAAAATGAGGATGATATACCTACTCATATGGCAGGCTGAAAGACAAAGAGAGAGTGCACATACAGAAGCCAACACAGTGCCCAATGCCTTCGAAGTGTTCAGTATTCAATTGGTGATGTAGGGGCCATTGTTTTCAGGTTCTATGAATGCTCCAGGAAAGGCTTGTTAAAAAACAGTAATGAGTAACCTAAACCATTTTAATGTAGATCTGTGAAGAGATTAGGGGCTGGAATAAGTTAATATTAGTTATGAATGACTGTGAAAAAATTTTTTTTAATTTACTCTTTGGATTATCTTCTTCATTGTTCAATATTTTTCTATTTTAACAGTGAGTTATGGTTTATTTGGGTAGAATAATAAAATAGAAGAAAGAAAATTCTAATCTTTCTCAGAAAATCTCACCTGTGGCTGAAGTCAGGTTGCTCTGGGACTGAGTGACAGTGAAGTCATCACAAGGGACTGGGAAATCACACACTCTGACTTCCAATTCCAACTCCAGCTGTCTAATAAAGTCATGAGGGAGCCTATAAGACATTCTCATGCCCTGGACCCATCACAGGGGTTTTGATTGAATTGGTCTAGGCAAAGCTCTGGCAAAGGTAGGACTTCAAAGCATCACCAAGTGATTCACTGTACAGCTAGCTAAGAACCACCTGAACTGAAAGCCACAGAAAATAAAAAAATTCTTTGAGACTCAATTTACAGAAATATAGGTGACAATAGTAATAATCCTCATACTCAAATGATCTGC